GTAGATGGGTTGCATGACAATAAACCGTCCGCGGCATGCGATTCCCGGGTGTTGGTTTCGTAGCAGGCGATGACGAAAAGAGCAAAGTGGATGAGCTGACGAGCACATATTAGACATGATCAGCAACCCATTTTTAACCCGAAGGACTCACGTTGTGATAACGCCGAACACAATCATGGCCCGTCCCTTGCCCTGAATCTCCGTCTCCAGCGCCCGGTCCTCGGGTGTGACCTTGGACTCATCGTACTGGTATCGGTCGTTGTCGTAGCCGCTATAATCCTGGATCATGTAACGGGGCCTCGAGATCACCCCAAAAGTAGACAGCATAAGGTCGACAATGGCCCAGCCAAGCCAGGCGAGGAGGTCGATGGCCACGATTGCGCCGGGGTGGATTCCACGGTTTCCGCCACGTTTCAAGATGCATGCTGCTTCGGCGACGTCCCAAACAAAAGTGACAATAATCTGGCGGCGGAGACATGGTCAGCTGGTCGCGCTCGTGCAAAAACTTCATGAGTGCTGGTAGCAAGAGATGTAACTCACGGCAGGGGCCAAAACCACCATCAGCAGGGCTCCGGCCTCAATTCGCGGGTTTGCTGCCAGTGACCCGCTAAGACCAGCGAGAATGATGACACACAGGACGGATCCCGCTCGCAGACCCAGCTTCGTCCTCCACGTCCCCGGCGGGGAGACATACTTTGGCGGTAGGTTCTCCATTTTGGCGGTTAACGATGGAGGATTGGGACACTTCCAAAGTTCAGAGGTTCAAAATCACGAAATGCGGGCGCCTCATTCCAGAAATAAACCCCATGATGGAAGTGGCGGAGCGCCCTCTCCTGGCGCCTGCCTGTTTTCAGCGTAGTGCGATGTTACAAAAAGCTTGGTTGCAATCAAACACGAGCCCGGCGGCGAATGGGACCGCCGAAAGCTGAAAGATTTCTCCAGCAGGGAACTTGTGCCTGAGATTGGGGTCCATTCAGGGGCCGACTGGTGGGGCTAAAAGAACAGGCCCGCCAAGACACCCATCCAGGCATGCCAGGCACCAGGCGCGCCAAAAAGTTCCAGGCGCGTCCAGCCTTGTGGGGCGAGCGTATTCAGCTCTTGCAGGTCGCCAGGAAACGGCATAATAACCGGGTATAATTCCCGCTTCGGCAAGAACCGAACCTCAGTCGTGACCTCGGCTGTATCTCCGGCGTACTTCGAACACAAATTAGGGTGACAATTGAGCGAGGGAGGAAATGTCGGGCAACACGATTAAATATAGGTGGTTGGCGCATTGGCCTAGAAGAGAGGCATTTGTCATTTTGAGGATTCAAATATTGTGAATAACCGGGTCAAATATGTGTGCACCAAGAGCCAACTACAGGCGGCAAAACATCCATGCTTTTTTTCAGCGGAAGAAATGTTTACAGGTCAAGGAGAGAAATGTTGGATTGGAAAGAATTGCTGCTGATAAGCCAAGTGGGCACTGAGATGCTCGAAATTATCCCAATAATACAGTCAGTCCTTGTCTCATCAATGCATGCAAGAGGCACAACCACATACGTAAGCCCGATTAAAGACAATAACTAGTTGCCCAAGTACAAGAGTACGAAGACGGGTAGTTGCATTCCATGCCATGGGGTCCACTGATTCCGCCGTCGGTTGCAAAGCACAGAGTTGATTCCAGTGCGAATCAACAGACCGTGAAATTATGGGTGATTGTAGCGCTTTGGTTCGCTCCCAAGAGCTTCAGCCACAGAAGCATTCGGATGGCTTCGTAGGAAGTGGCATGGACCAAGTGCCGGTCTCCATCGACCAGACGCAATCGACAGCTGCAGCGCTTGAGAAAGGGGAACTGAAACAGCTAGAAAGTTTCAGCTTTTGAGATATGTTCACACTTAGCACTTGCTTCCTCCCATGCCCCCTCAGCACTCCCCATGATGCTTGCCATCTCCAATATTGGTACCCCTGGTAATTTGGATGCAGTGTGGGTCGGTATTCTTTGATCAGTGCTAGTATATGTTGGTGTTGACTAAGACCTTACTGAATTGGAGCATTTTAACAACAGGCTCTTTGACTTCTTGATTCACTCTTGCCTTGTCAACAATCGTATTGGGAGGGATGTCAATGGCCATTAGGGCATCAATTCTTCCCTGTTGGTGACGCCCATATTGGGGAGGGGTGGTTTCTTGAGTTTGGTGTGATTCCAGAGCCTTGTCCAGACCTGACAAAGCCCACTCTGGTCATGGACCCAAGAGCTGAAAGGAGCAAACTCGGATGGTAGGGATACTCTAGAACCCTGGTGAACTTCTCTCACAAACTATTATCGTCGATGTTCATGGTACCCCCCTCAGACCTAGGATAGTCGAAGGACCCCCATGCGGCTAAAGCAGCTGGCCGCACCTTCTTTGAGATGAAGTTGGGGCTGTCATCTGGATGATACTGGTTTGCACGGGCTGGTGGTTCGTCTTAACCCAACTGCTCCGTTGCTGTTTCTTGCTGTTGTTGTCTCCAAGACCCTGTCCCCCCTCCTCCTGTAGCTGAGCCATGTGTCTGGCCTTTGTCCCCTGAGCTCGCTGGTTCCCTCTTGCATCCGAGGAGTTTTCATAACACTCGTCGACATTTATATTCCCGTCGCTCGCCATGCGTCGTCCGTCCAAACCTGAATTTAACATCTGTGTAAATCATTCCCCTTCCCTTGAACCCTGTGAGCACAGCGCCGAGACTGGCAAGCAACCCTCAATGCAGCACAATAAGAGAGGCTTTGTCAAGGAAGAAGCCGTAACTGGTTCACCTTGTGCGAGAGATTATCAACCACAATCTCGCGGCGAATGAGGCGCCACGATCCATCTGACTTTGCACTTCTGGATTTTCCTTGCCTGTCGTTAAGAGCGCTATATTTTGCTGCCCTCCTCCCTCCTCTCTTTCTCTTCTTCCTCCAACTCTCTCACAACCATCTCGCTACCAACCACCATCCCTCCTTGCCTTCGTTCCTTCTTTCTCGCTCGCCTGGTCAGCATAACCGACCACAACTGACTACCGCCATGGAGCCCACCACACTGGGCAATTCCGCCTCGGGCGGACACGACGACTCGCCCTTCGCCAAGGGTTACCAGGCGGGGTTCCAGCACGGCTGGAACCAAGGCTTCCGACGGGGGAAGCAGGAGGGCCGCCGCGAGGCGGCGCCTCAGACCAGGTCGCGGGAGGGCGACGATGCTGCCGAGGGCAGCGAGGAGGCCCAGGGTCGGCGTAAGTTTTTGTTTTATTGTGCTCTCCTCCCAGCTCTTGCTCCATCCTGCTTGGTCATTTGAGCCCTCCGCGGTTGCCGAGTTGGCCAGCCTGGCGTGCTTTCGGTTTCTGCCGCCTGTTGCAAATCGGCGCGGCCCGCGAAATGAACACCCGGCTAACGAGAATTTCTCCAGACCCCCCAATC